ATTCTGTGAAGGTGCCTCGCCAGGCAATTCAATAATCAAGTCATCAAAAACTGAACTTCGAATCAATTGTCTATTGCAAACTTGCATTATACCCTCTTAAATGGAATTGGACAGCTCAATAATTCCAGAATTCAAGGAAATCGAAATCATGGATGCTCTTATTCACTTATTTACCCCCCCCCCCATCTTCGACCACCCCATTCTATACTGGTCTATTTCGATATTTTACGTACTCTATCGAACATTTTTCCCCTGTTAAGTAAAATTTTAATTAAGGTGTAAAATAGGGTAAAAATCAGTATTTGTTTTAAAATTTTAAACTACTCATGAAATATACCATCATAAACGCCTTAAATAATAGGCCTATAAAATGGCTGCAAAACAGGAGCATTGAGATCATAAAACGAGGTAAGTGTTGGCCAAGGGAATCACAAGACCCTGGATAGCTAAATTGGTGCAATTAATTGCGATCTTTTATTTGATTATTTCATCATTCAAGGAAATAGGAGAAGCAGTTTTAGTCATATTATTATTAAAGACTGTCACCAGTATTTGACATTTTCCCCATTCATGCTCTCTACTTATTTACTGGTGAGTCTGCTCAGCTGTTACTACTAATAAGGAGCGCCAGTTTTGGCCAGTTGGCGATCGAAGTCTCTGAGTTCTTTGTTATACTTTGTTACCAAATAAATGGCTTTGATCACTTTTCTCCATGATGTCTTTACATTTGTTTGAATATTTATTTATATCAAATGGCGGGCGTTTTGATAGTTATCATTAGTCACTCAGCTGACTTCAGGCTTCACAGATGGGAAGGAGCATCAAGGTGAAAAAAAGACAGAAGAGTGTTTCACAGATGTAAAAGAGACAGACAGACATAAGGTAGAGAAAAAGTAAGATGAATGCTGTGGAAGGGGTCAAATATGGCAACCAGTGGGGTCTTGGTAGTTAGAAGCCAGAAGTCAACTGCCGGTGAATTGACTTTTGCCGTATGAGTATACGTTGCCCAGGGTGCACCACGTGGAGGTAAGTCTATCGTTTGAATATATACGCCCATGAAGACCCTAAACTACTGTTTTGCTCTTGAAACAATAGGTTTCCAATCTCTTTATTGGTCTGGAAAAATGATGCCTGGATGATGTCTGGAAAACCTTCTTGGCAGTAACATTTCCAGAACTTTATCTTCAAGGGGGGGGGGCTTTTGAGAGGAGACTTAGTCACTACGGCAGTATGGAGATTTTAATTAATATGATTGGACTTGGTTGTAACCAATAATTATGACTAGCTAAGTAAAAATGTCATCACAAATAGTGATGTATGTATTTCCTCATATTTGATTAATTGCTGATTTAATTACGATCAAGTCAAAAGTATGAACTGTGAATATATAGGAGAGATTAAAAAATGCCTTTATAAATAACGTCTTTTACTCTTATGTTATATCTAGATTGAAATATAATCGAGTAAAGCGCAGAAAACACTAGCTGAAACGGAGAGTACTTTTATGCTGAACCAAATTCCTAAATTTTCATACAATGGTCAAACTTAGACTTGGGTGAAAACCTTTTTCCATTACAAGGAGACAGTATAATTCATAGGAGAAAGTTGACCAGAACCCTTGTAGAAACACACTAAATTCAAGCTGACATGTGGAACACGATTTAACCTGAAAGGTTAACAAGGTAGATCCTGACAGGAGTGGAATTAATCGATACCCAGTGTAAAATGAAATAAATAATTCTTAGATTTTCTATAAATAAAATATAAATACTGCTTTAAATACAGTGTTACCGAAAAAGTATTGAAATTGAGGAAATGCAAATGATTTATCAGTTTGGCATTATTGGAGTTAAATAACAGCCGAAGATTTGTAATCAATTTTTTTCATATCAAAAAAAAAACAATTATCATACGCGTTGGAAAACGACAACCCATAACAAATCATGACATGTGTTTGGTTTTAAAAGTCCTGGCCAACTTGTATTGAACCTGGTTGGTGTAACACTCATGCGGATTAATTATTTGCCAATTGACCAATATAAATAGGTTTAAACAAGGTAGTAAATGAGGCAATAGGAGATGATGAATTCCTCCTATGCACATTAATAGTTACTCGAGAAAAGAAGTTGAGGAAAAGTGCGTTTATTTAGCAAGCTCATCTTCCTCCCCCCCCTCACCCAACCCCCCNAACCCCCCCAACCCCCCAATGTCGTGATAAAATTAATTAGGGCAGTCAGATGGGCCATTTTCAGTTTTAAGTGAAGGCTCTAATAGAATGAACGCGCAGAAAAAAACAATGAATATGAGTGAGGACATTCGCAACGTAACCCGTGTCAGAGACCTGAAGCATTCCAAAAAAATGTTGTGTTTAATAAAAAAGAACACAGTTTTGACCCAAAAACCCATTTGTCCCTCGTTGGATGTACTTTTGCTATTGACCCCACCAAAAGATATCCTTGGCAGAGCCCAATTGATTTGCCCCAATTTAATTATCTAGAGAAGTGTTAATGAACATAAAAGACCCAAAACACTCCTACTGGGCAAAAGATTAAATAATTTTGACAAAGGACAGCAATGAAAGTAAACCTTTTTTATGCAATCAAATATGCTTTTAAAATTTGCATTTAACAATGCGGTAAAATGAAATTTCTCGTCTAGACAACAAGGTCTATAAATAATAAGAGTGGCCGCCAATGATTGGAATTGTTTACACTCCTTGCAGAAGAGTGGCGTGCGCTAATTTTGAATGCGATGCAAACATTCGCATTTTCCAAAGAAAATTCGAAACAATTTTAGCCTCTTACTGCGTTCTGATGGCCACTTGTCTAAACATTACAAACAATAAGCTTCATGGATCTTTTCCTAGTAGAATCTTAATATTAAAAGCAATATATCCAAAATTTTTATTATTTCTTCGCAGAAAATAAGGAATTCCATGACAACCTAAGAGTTTGAGGTGAAAGGGGAGGATTCTTTCAGATGTGGAAACAAACTGGAAAACAAACTGTGGAAACCGTGAAGTACCAGTTGGGAATGACATGTTCAGCACAGTGAAAAGATCGCCAATGACCGTCAAAATAAGATCATATTCAAAGGTACTAACATTGAGTCTCATACGATTTTCCTCTATAAGCTGAATCGCGTAGTGTGAGAAAGAAAACCTTAGCATTTCGATTAATAAATTATTACCTAAGAAGTAATAAGATTTGTTGCATGTTGCACTGCATAATTCAAACATGCTACTGGAATTAAATTTGACCTTAAAATAGTAATGAGAACCAAAAGCGATTCAGTGAATCACATGATACTATATCTACTAAAATAATAAATAGCTGTTTTTAATGTAAATCATATTCTACTGGCATTTTTATACAAATTCCAAGTACTGCATACATCTTTTGGTAGTACTAATAAAAGGAAAATCGGCAGCGATGTTCAACCTATCCTAATTTGTTTGTTTACTGTTTGTCAATTTTACGTATAAATTACTTTCAGAACGTTGAATAATCACTTACAAATAACTTCCACTGTCAGCATTCTATAATCACATCAAATATGTAAGAGTTAAAGAATGGAATTTGTTAGTATCTAAGTGCTAAAATAATACAATAGGCTGTTCAGATGATTAGTTCAATTGGGCTGATTTTACTAAAGCTTTGAAAATAGGACATTTGTTTACATTTTAACATAGCGGTACAAGATGACAAAATTGTGAATATCCTCAACTTACACGAGCAAATTGACCCAGATAAAGCAAAAAAATTACATCATTTTTGATACAAAAACTAGGTTTCCGTTTTTCAGAACAAAAGAAACCGTCTTGGAGACTTAGATTTCATAGCATAGCACTAAAGGCCCGAAGGAAACCACAACACACGATAACTGATAACTGAGCTTATTTAAACAAAATTTCGAATATCGATCGTCTATTTCATAACCCGTAACGAGGTAAATAAATATTAAAAATATTGATCTTTTACTCAATTTGCGTATGTTTGGCGTTTTTTTAGTACCAACATTAGCTTTTTTATTTAGATAAATATCAATTTCTGAATTCCTTAAAAATAGTCGCTTAGTAACAATAGTGCTTCTAGATGTTAAGAAAGGGCATTACATGAAGCCTCTTTCTATTATGTCAGTGGTTAAGTTATTTTAATGCAAAATCTGCTCAGAAGTATACAAATAGTTTTTTTTTTGAATTTTAAGCAGTTGTAAAGAAGTCTAAATGTTTATTGATTAAAAACTGGACAAGCTTATTAGGGACGCATAAACTGGTTAATTTGATCTCATTTGTGCCTCATATCCTATCTTTTACACACCCCTTATCTCTGATATTTATGTCTTATATGACGTCGTTGACTATTGTTAAAATAGGAATGCCATTCCCAAGACCTAAAACATATAAAATTTGGGAACTTGACAGCAGAACGCTTACTTCAATGCAAATTTTTGACTTGACAACACAATTTTATTCCAGAATTACACTAACAAATAATCACGTTTTATGAATACAAAGGACTTAGAATCGTCAGAAGTAAACATTTAAATGTAAAGTACAATATCAAATACGCTATATTTCAGGTAATTTAAATGACACACAGAAGACTATTCGCAAACTTAGTTAATCGAGATTAAATTGTTTCCGCTGCCATTACATAAGACCAAACTTATCAATGTCAACAAAAAGAGATATAAAAATAACTCCAAGTGAAAAAAAAACAGAGACTATGAATTGTTTAAAAAAATTGAAAAGCCATCGCAATCCCAATCGCCCCATCTTTTTTAGAAAAAGCTAGATAAATTTTATTAAAAACGGTAATTTTGCACTTGCTTATGCCAAGCCTAATATAAAATTTGCGCAACGAAAAAGCCATTAGAAACCTCATAGTACTTTAACCATTTTGTGTAGATACGCCGTATGAAGTGATCCCTAACGTCCATCTCTACGCCAGTTTTGAAACTTTTCTTAAAACCTTTTTTTAATGAATAGTTCAAGGACGTCATGTTTTCAAATGTGACACGGCAATTTGCCTCACATTCAAAAGCGCGATTTGCGAAAAAAAATGACAACAACTCACAGCTGACTGGTGATCGACATTGGCATCGCCGTTGAGCAGCAGACTGGCAGCTTTGACATCGCCCTTCTTGGCTGCAATATGAAGAGCTGGCAGGCAGACTTTTCCACGAGCGTCTGTTTCTAGGAGAACGGCGACGGTGCGTTCATGGCCTTGTTGAAGGGCGACAGCAAGTGGGGTGAATCCATCAACCGTTGTTAAAGTGGGGTTGGCTCCATTGGCTAAGAGAAGTGTTACTACCTCCAGATGATTCTCTTGTGCTGCCATATAAAGGGGGGTGAAACCGTTCTGGAGGGAAAAGACATTTATAGATCAGTCAAATTATTGAAAAAGATATATTTTAAAAAAATTTACCTCTAGAATGGACATTAATTAACTGATTAGCCAGGTAAGATGCGTTACTTTAACTGCGTATAAAATAATTTCCCAATTTATTTGTACTTTTTTGTCGATCGTGGTACTGTGATAGAGTTTGCGATAAAGTCAGTACTCAGGTTTGAATATCCTGCATTATTATAATAGAAAATAATAAAAACAATAGCTGCGATACTCATTATGGATTGCAAGTAATTAGCACCTCGAAGAAATGTGCGATATGGACATTTTTAAGAAAAACTTTGGAGGCGCTAAAATCTCCGTTGATATTACACACTGCCTTAGGGTAAATTCGTGCTCTATTGGATTAGTAGTTCATGCAAAGTTCTGCTAAATTGTAGGTCATGAGATTGGTGTTCATCTCTGTGCAAACAATTCTGGACACAGCAAAACCACAGTGACCAATTTTAGTCAAGCAGTGTCTCAAAGGAACAACGCAGGACTAGAGTTCACTTAGCGTACCCCTTACACGACTGGAGAGCTTTTATTCCTAAGTATAAGCTGTGCAATCTCGCCTATTCAGAATCTCTACTAAAACACCACCAAATTTAAAGTTGCACTTCCGTTAAAAAAGGCATAAATCCGATCTCTAAGAAACAAACAAAATAGTTAAATAGGTGTAAACAAAATATTAGAAAACAAATACATTTTATTTACTTTCAAGAGTGAAAAAATGAACATGGGTTTGGGTGACTGCACATATTCAAAAAAATTCACACATTGATGTGTCCTGAACCTACAAATTTTATCGAAAAGGTAGTGAAGTCGCTGACTTAATAATGCTGCTTAAATTTTTTTATCTGAATATGGATTAATGCAACTTTTTTTGGAAATACTTATTTAAAAACATCAAAGAAATTGTATACACGTTTGAGCGAGATATTAATAATTAAATTTAAATCTTTTGAAAGTAGGTAAATGGAAATTCAAATAAAAACAATAAATCGTCATTCAAATCTAGTAGCAAACATCAAGTCAGCTTTACAAAAAGTCAACTCTTTATTCGCCATTTCTATTAAATATAGAATTGACTAAAATTTCGTAAATAAATATATTTTACTTGAGTCACAACTGCCACATGCGGATTGATAAAATTTGTATAAAAGTACAACATAAAATGTCATTTTTATTAACAAAATAAACTCAAATTGCCCTCCTACTAAAAATTTATTGGTTTTCAAATTAACTCAAAATGTGTTGCAAGATATCAAATACACAGCACTGGAGGTAAAATACGACACGACTTAGATTACATGTAAGATACAACTGGTTCGCTGAATGGCAGAAAATTTGATTTTGTAGTGAAAGTGCGCTTCACCATACCAAAGCTCCTTATTTGGCACGTCTAACTGCTTCCAGGGTAAAAGGTCAATCAGCACTGAGTATCACGTGTTAATGAACCAAGTGACCAAGTCCTAAAATTTAGCCATTGAACATTAGGACATAAGAAAATAGGCCAAGAACAATCTAATAAACTTTAAATACAAACGAAGTGAAATAGATTTAAGACAAAGATAGTAATCACTATTTTACATGATACGCTAAACCGGCCAACTTTAAAAGAACAATTCTTATTTACCCCACCCCGACCCCCTCCCTGCTTAACAGTCTTATTAGAGGATATTTTGAGACGCTGAAACGCAAAGAAGGATATCCACTCAACATACTTAAAATACGACACAACGTGTGTCGAGAATAGAGGAGAATTTTCTACCCGCTGAAAAAATATCAGCTCTTTTCGTCACTTCCACTTGCACCTGATCCTTCCCCTCCACCCCCCTACCCCCCCGCCTTAGTACCACATACACTAACCAATCGCAGATGCAACGGGTAACGGAAACTGTGGGCGGGAAAACAGAATGAGTCATCGTCTTTCGTAAGTTTATTGCTCCATTGGTGCTTCTTCCTTCAGCTGGTAACCAAGTGGCAGATTACATTCGACTCTCAAGTATTAAAAAAAGATATGGAAATTGAAACTACTTTCGTTTAGTGAATTGAATTTAAATAATAAAAAAAGAATTTATAGGAAAGTAGACCCAAACCATGAGCTGACGGCTCAAAAATAAACCAATGTAGAAAGAATTGTGAAATCTTAGACTGCCACTTCAGCTCAAGACAGACTTAATTACTCGAATTTAAAATAGAAGGATTATTCCAACTAGTTTGAGCACCGAAAGATTCGCCCGTATTCACTGGCCTTTTCAGTCCCAAAATCAATATCTAAGATTAAATATTCTGTTTGTTGCGTCTGTGTCATCTAATTTCTAAATGCACGTCTATTATCAAAAGTGTATTTAGCGTGATTTCGAGCGATTGCAGTGTGGACTCGATCTTATCTGCAAAAGGTATCAACCTGTCCCAGGGTGTTGGGGTAATATGTTTTTTCCTCATTTGACATTTACACAGGCACGATAACCACGCTTAGCGACGATGATAAGGCATCTTGATGAAAAAACGTTACCGGAATACACGTACACCAGAAAATGAAAGCGATTCTTTATATCTTGAGTGGGGTGTGCGATAGACTTACCTCCACGTGGTGCACCCTGGGTAACGTATACTCATACGGCACACAGGTCCATTAATTGGCAGTTGACTTCTCACTTCAAACTACCATAACCCCATTGTATGTCATATTCGACTACTTCCACAGTACTCATCTCACCTCTTTCTACCTTTGTGTCTGTCCCTTTTACATCTTTGAAACACTCTTTTCTTCCCCCTCCCCTCTCGACTCTTTCAATTTGATGTACGTTCCTCTCTGTGAAACCTGAAGTCAACTAAAGGGATAATGATAACCATCAAGACGCCTGCCATTTGAATAAATAAATAAATATCTTGAGAACTAAGATAATAGAAGAAAAGAATTAAGGTGGAGATGATCTCGGAGACCATAAAATTGCTACCGAAAAGACCAATAGCAAAATGAATAGAATGTACAGTCGATATCGATTCGCAAACTTATGTTCTTTACTCATAGACCAGGCAAGAATAAACGAAACATATTTTAAAAATGGTATTGAAGTAAACTGTTTATATTTAAGTATTTACTACAAAAGCAGCCCATTGTGAACTTTAATGCGATCAAGTTATCTTTAGTCTTCGATGAAATCAAAGGTCTTATGCTTCGGGTAATTTAGAATAGTAAAATGAAATTGTACGACAAGTTATTGTTTTATTTTGAATGGAAAAATTCAAGAACCCTGACACTGTTCATGCGAATTAAGAGTTCCATCAGAACTGATTCAGAGTGGTTTCTCTCTGCTTAAAGTAACTTCTCAAATGTTCCTTTATTCGAAGGGTGTCAATTACTAACAGAAGAATATCACATTCTGCCATTCTTTTGGTGAACAGCTTCAGGTGTGGCGATTGATTACTCCCCCGAATGGATGTGCAAAGATGGGCGTGGATTTCGTGACCTCTGAAGAGCACTTGGAACTCCATCACCTAGGTGAATTCTGAGATCTTAATGTTCTAAACTATTCTCCATAAGTCAACAAGTTAGTCCTATGTATGGAATTACTATGGAGATCAATGCAGATTCTCGAGGCTTTAGCATGATCTAAACCTGCTTCTACATTGATGATGAGTGCAGCCAACTGTGTGAATTTATGTGAATTGCAGACTGTTTTGAATATCAATTCCTCGAGCACATATTGTGGCCATGGTCTTGCCTATTTCCACGTCTGGGAGGTTCTCCCAGCCTCACATTACAATAGATGTGAATCCTCTTACACACACACACATACACTGTTTTGTTATGGAGACTATATGCATATAAAAAGAAACTCCAACAATACGAATTAACCGACTTGTCAAGACGTTCCAATCATCTTGAGCACTTTATCGTTCAGGTACTAAGAGAGAAAATCCTACAGTGGACTGCACTCATTGAATGAGAATGACACAACCTGAATCCAAAAAAGCAATTCAAGTCGCTCATTATCACTGCACTGGCTTCATTTTCAACTTTAACTCCGTCTCTCCATAGGCCAATGCTACTCAGTGGAATGAGTACTATTTCTCATACTCAAAGTCTGGTCCAAAATAAAAATTTCAAATATGTAACTAGTTAAATCTTGTCTAGGTATTCATTAAATTGCAATAATACGAGCCTCATATTATTACTAACTAGAATTACAAACAAAATGTGAAAATCACACTGAACATCCACGGTAATAACTGAACAGTTGCTAATACTAGGAATGAGGAAATTTGCAAGACACATTACGTCAGACGCTGAAAAATCGTCGTATTCGTCGACAAATTTTCGAAATGCATTCAAATAGGAGAAATCATATTTTAAATCGTGAGTTAGATTATTTTAAACAGGTTCAGAAATGTACGAATACATGCCTGCCATATTTTTTTATAAAAGATTAATATTCCTGAGGTTGTGTTTTATGCAAAATAAATATGCCCAAAATAAGTAAATGTTTTTTCAATTAGAAAAAGAATATTTTCTCGCTTTTAAAGATTCATAGAAATAGCATCTCATCACTAATTTATTCAAAAGGTTTTGTAGGGATATATTTGCACTGATACAGTTTTAATAGCGCGTTTCATTAATAAAAATAACTCAAGTAAATTAAAATGTTCGGTCTTGCGTATTTTTTCTTCAATTTAAAATGATCTCGTGTGAAGTATTAATATTTAGACCTAAACAACAATATTTTAATTTCTATCTAAAGGAAAATTTAGAATGCAAATTGTACTAAGATCACTGTTATGAAGAATTAGAACGTCTACATCATTTCGTGCCTAAATAATTATCGATTAACATGATCAAACTCATCTTATACTACTAAAAAATTGAATGGCTTATATTTTTCTAATTATGGAAGTTACACCTTTTAATGTCAATTACTTTAATAATTTGAATAGGAAACTGAGATTTACAAAATAAATATATGTTTATTTAACTTTTTATCATGATTGCCATTTTAACTGTGGAACTTGTAGAAAAGAGCTATGCTCAAACAAATTTAGCATCTAAGGCTTTAACCAAATTGAGCTGTCGTCTCACCTGTGATTGGGCATTAACTAGGGCCCCATTTTCAATAAGTACTTTGGCCACCTCGAATTGACCGGCGAGACTGGCTATGTGGAGAGCGGTGTTTCCCTTGTTGGTAGGCTGATTGACATCAACATGACGGCGAATCAGTTCTTTGACAATTTCTACATGCCCCTCTTTTGATGCCAAATGGAGGGCGTTTAGTCCACTCTGGAATAAAAATGAAGAAATGATTTATATTATTTATAGATTATACTTTCCATATTTCTAAAATTTATAGTGTGATAATGCGGTAATGAAAGTGTAAAATCGGGAAATTTGGGGAGTAGTTGAGGAGTTATTGGTAAATACCAACATTGGCAAATCTCTTGAGCGCACATTTAAAAGGACGATAAGTGATATGTGAATAAACATTTGCTTAAAGTTTCGTGAAAAATGGGAAAAAATTTACATTGATTCATAACTCAGTGACGATACATACAGTGTATACTTTGAAAAGAAAAAAAAACGTGAAAACAGGTAATATGAGTGGGGTCACTTCTTTAAATGAATTAGTCAGAACATCGCCTCTGTGTTTTCAAGCGTCCTGCAATCGGTCCTCAAATTAGTAATCATTCATCTCAGTATGCGTTTGCACGTTGTTATCGATACCTCAACAGTCAATTTTGACAAAAAATTGTCATTGTCTCATTAGTCTGCTGACCTACAGTCAGCAATTATAACAAATATACTTTTATTACTGCATTAATTGTCTTTGCCAAAATTTGGTGATGGAGAATTTCAACTTCCCACTTACGACTTCTATCAGATTGGAATTATTTACTGTGTAAGTAAGAGTACATCTTTTGGTTTTCCTTCATTTCAAAATAGAAGGTCTGAAGCTGGAACTATTTTCCCGTAGGGAAAATGACAGAGAACATGTTGAAATGAAATAAAGACTTATGGAGGCAATGCCCAACAAAATGCAGAAGGTACGCTAGAGGTTGAAGTCGAATTGTCTGGAATTCTGAAAACTTTTGACAGTTTCTATTTGTTATTAATACAACGTAAAGCCTGGTGTTAGAACTTGCCATTTGTCAGTGCTATCTTGTCAAATGTCATCTTTCTGCTAAACGAAATTAGACACTACTGCTTTCAGTAACTGTTTTTCCAAGTAAGTGCTATTTTTTAAACTTTTTATCGTATATTATTTTAGGAATGTGAATGCATTCCAGTCAATATTTTTAATAATAGAAATCGGATTTATTAAGTCAAATTCACGACAAAATGGACTTAAATGGAAAATTTGATTTACATAAGGATGCCTAATCGCAAATTAAAAAATTACTGACTAGTTTTTTTAATAAAATACCTACAAAAGTAACCATTTGAAAGGTTTCTATTAGGAGCACTTCGGATTAAAATTTATGATAAATTACTTGTAATTTAGTAGGAAACAATTTTTGAATTAAACTTTTATAAAATTATGATTAAATTCACCCCTAATAATATTTCTCCCTAATATAAAAATATATCAGAAGCTGATTCGATAAACATTTAAAGAAATCTAAATAATCAGGCAATTAGAAGGAACTGTATTTACGAAGGCAAAATTCTTGTCTTTCAATAAAGTATGTTTCAAAAGATACAGAATTTTATCTATTCACGTCTGTGCAGGGATAATATTTGATTTAAACTTTAAATTTATTCATTTTTTATAATTCATGCCTTTTGCTTAAATTTACTTGCTCGAGGTATTAAAGCCCACTTTTTGTAATAAAAAACAGACAAATTTACTCCCTGATGAATACCTGGAGAGGATGTCTTAATGAGTTGAGTAATAATATCTGGGTGAAAGGAAATATTTTCCAACATTTATCTTAGAGAGTGGGGGTGTGCGATAGACTTACGTCCAGGTGGTGCACCCTGGGCAATGTATTCTCATACGGCAAAAAAGCCTATAATCCGGCAGTTGACCTTTGACTTCAAACTGTCATGACCCGCCTATATGTCACGATCAACCACTCTCACAGTACTCACCTTACCTTATCTTTTTCTCTACCTTTGTGTCTGTCTGTGAATCACTCTTCTGTTCCTCCCCCCCCCCCTCGACATTTCGAGACTTTAACGTTCCTCCCCTCTATTAAGCCTGAAGCCAACTTAAGGTCAACTGATCACTATCAAAACCCCTTCCATTTGAAATAAGTAAATCTTTGACAATGGAGTGGCATTAATGAGTCCCCATTTTGAGAAACATACTATATGCTATTTATCTTTTTGACCATTTGCAACTATCGCGATGGGTCATCCATATCACTGGAGGTGCGCACCAATGAGCATATGTCTCGTAACGCCTGCCTCTACAAAAGTACCGATCACCCATTAAATAGCCGTTAGACTAATACAAGTTCTAGAATGTTATTCTTTCCTTCACACAGCCAGAGTAAGTAAATAAGCACTCGGGTTCTCACCTCATTCACTAAAAATAGAAATTACTCACATTAGGAAGCATTGGAATGGACTTCCTCAATAACATCCACCTTCAAGTTTATTATCAGTCAAAACAAATCTAGCGAAATTGTGCCTTATGAAAAGAAGTTTAGACATTTAATCTCAGTCATAGGGTAGTCTGCAGAGATTTTAAAAGTATTCTGCCAACTCAAAGATACTTCAATCTCCGAAGAAGGAGAGATAAAAGTGTATGCTATTTCTGATGGACTTAAAAAGTAGTGCACTTGATAAGTGAAAACTGAATAGTTTTTCTTTTTATTATAACTCAGAGTAGAAAACCTTTCCATCCGATTCTTGTATCAAAATTAACCACTCAAATCTAACCGCATTTTAACGTTAGAAGCTAAAAACACAGGGCTATATCACCTTCCTACCTTCATGGAAAGATCGAAAATATTAAAAATAGAACCGAAAAGGTAGAACAATTATTGGAAGCTTATGTAACAAATTTGGAACACAATTTTTTTAAAAACGACGACTAAAACTGCTGACTGAGTCACCGATACATTTGTTTCAACAGTCGCCTCGAACAACAACTGTAGCGCACATTGGATTAATATCAGATTTTTTAAGTTGAATACTGAAGTTAAGAAGGAGTCTTATTCCTTGATTATGAATTTGCTTTTTGAAATTGAAAATGAAAAGAGTTTTTCTGTCCTAAACCATGTGAACTAATATATGCGTTCGATTTATTCAATGGATAAAATGTAATATATTTGACTTAAAATGAATAAAATGGGAGAATTAGACATTTTCATTCAATTATGACTGAGTTTGTTAGTTACCCTGGCACTTAATTGATGAGTCATGAACTAGCCAGAGATGAGTTTAGAATCAGCTGTTTGAATGGGCAACTACATTGGCTAATTCAGATTCAGGCTCGTGACGTTCTCGTAGAACCAGCTCAAAAATACCTTTACAAGTCGAGTGTTGCCACCAATTTTCTCTACAGACGCTGGAAATATAATAGTATAATGGACATTGACGAAAACGTTTGAATCAATTTTCGTTAACTTAAATTAAGCGAACAGACTATCAAATGAAAGTAACATCAGACTGTGAGCAAGAGGCGCATTCTCAATTGCAAACTTCTTCCCTTATATATATAATTTCCTTTTATTATGATATGAATTTGACGTTAATAAACGTGTGTGTTACTTGTTAGAGGCTTGTATTGACGAGTGTGCTAAGCCAAAAAGTTGAGCCTGAAAAGGACAACATCTACTAAATTCAATTAACTTAATTAATAAAATTTGGTGAATAAACAAAAAATGAAAAATTTTGGCAGTTTTGTTGCCATAAGGAAGGCAACGAAATCAAAATAATTAGCAATAGAAAGTAGAGATAAATATCCTGATCTATCTCCTAAACAATGCTGTTGATAGAAACTAATCCTTATTAGCGGCGAAAAACTTAAACAATATATTTATCTTCAAATCCATAACAGTTTTTAAATATTGTTTTATTTGAAAAGAAAATTAATGACACTGAGCAAGTTCCCTTTGAGCAGTTTTGATCAGTACAAAAATACGCATACACAAACACACACACGTATTCAAGTTACTTAATCTACATCAAAAATTTACGGAGTTAAATCCTTATTTGATAAAAATGTGCATTTTTTTAAAAAAGTAATTGTGCATGAATTTATGGTTACATCCTACCTCAGTTATTACTTGCTAAAATTATTTAAGAGTTTTTATCAGTTAAGGGAAAGTAAATTTATAAAAAAAAGTGAATTAAAAATGTTCTCAAATAGCGGCATAGTTATTGGCGTTAAAACTTGAGGTAAGAGCATTTGCAGATAATTTTACATTCTAAATCTGAGTATGGAGATTTCAAACACCTTATGTGGGCAGTGTTTAAAGTACCAATATTTGGTAAATAAGGGGCAATAATTAAAAGGCCGTCATAGATGTCAGAAAATGGCATTTGAAATAAACTAGTCAACCAATCCCGAAATCTAAGAACGTAAACTGTCACAAATGAAATGCGACATGCATTTGATTCAGCGTTTCGAGATAATTTATGAAAAAAAATAACTGAAAACTTAATAAATCAGCTATACGACTAAAAGGGTGATTTAACCTCAAGAATCTTTTCTTCTATCAGATAAAGTCTTTTATATTATTCACCTGGATATTACTGCAATGGTTTGTGCACAGATGCTTCTCAACAATATACGTAATATGCATTCGATTAGATAAATACCAGTAACTAAAAGTGAAATGTCGCCATGACTTATTTATTTAAAAAACCCGAATTCGGTTCAAATTATGAGCAAATGCAAATATTAAACTGAATTTGAAATACGGATATTTGTTGACAGTTAAAAATATAGACAAAGTGACTGAAAGGATGAAGGAATGATAATGGTTGACAACTTTAACATTCATGAGATGTTTTATGTGTACACATACACTTCTCCATAAAGCCGATAAGGAATCTGAGGAGTGCTGTTGAGCAGTCCAAAGTAACGATTTGGCTACTAGAGTAGCCAATAGTAACCAAGATGTGATTGATCAGAAAATGGGATTTGTAATTATTTGAAGTGTGTTTCTGATGGTAAAATAAGTATCAAACTTATTACAATTAAGAAACAGAGTAGTAAAGCGCAGCAAAAGAGCAACTAAGCGACTATTTTAAGATCAATTGCATTTCTTACCGCATTGCAAGTGTTGATATCCAGTCCATGAATTACGATGGCATCTACAAGTTTATTTAAGTTTCCGGCACGTGCAGCTCTTAAGATTGATTGACTTGTTTCTGACTAAAAATGAAGGTTTGAGTAATAAAATGCCGTAATTTTGTTTCAGGAATGCTTGAAGTGCGAAAAATTATAATATGGCAAGCATAAGCCATAAAAATGTGCGTTACTCATTAGTTTAAAAATGGTGAAATAAATACCTCAGAGTAATACGAAAGAAAATTCAAATATTAAAAATAAAATTAAAATCATGCTACTTGAGATGAAATTACAATTAAAATATTTTGAAAATATGTTGATTTCAAAAATGCCAAAAATTATGCAAATGCATTCAAAATTAAATTGACTGAAACACACCCTTCGACTAGTTGATGTTGTTGTAACATTTGGTGAGGCATATTGCTCCGGCATGGTCATCCCTATAATTTGATAGTTTGTCCTCGATTAGCTCCAAAAAGATTCCGCGCCAAAAGCCATTCCGAGGTCACAGAAAATATTTGATTTGAGAAATGAAAACTTAGTTATTTGAAGATTATCAAAGATTGTGATTCATATCAAATTTAATAAATTTTATAATTATCTATAACTGTTGATTTCAATGTGGTTTAGTATTTAAATTTCAGTGTTAGTACATCGTCAAATAATGCGTTAAAATTTATTCCATACCCTCGTAAAATGCAATAGTACGTTGAAAGCTTTAAACAGCTTTCCGAAAATTAATTCTTAGTTTTCAGTGCAGGTTTATTAAACCAGAAATGTGCTTAACTCTGATTTTTGCTTGGTATATTTATCATGCAATATTTGAATCTAATCTAATTTCAACTTTTTTATGATTTCATTGAGCGGTTATATCTTAATTCTCAATTTATTTTAATTTTCATATGTCTTGTTAGGACTTTGAGATCAATTGAAAACAATGTAGATGAAGTAAACTATAGCCAGCTCTACATTTTTACCTATCCGAATTAATTCTTCTACCAAATCCCTTTAAATTTCAAATGCTATTGGATAACAGCTCGCTGAAGTCTATGACATATATTTAGAAAACTATTCTATAAGTTCACAGTACAGTTTGTGGAAATTTTTTGTTGAAATTCATATATTTTCTTTTTCACATAAACTTGGCCTTGAGTTAGCGAAGGAACCAAAATTCCATTAAGCACCTAAAATGGTTATTTTAAAATTTGGTAGGGTGATAGTTACTAATATATAATTTTAAACAACTAGATTATTTCATTTTGATAAAAATCCTAACATATGCATATGTAATCATTACTTTCAATTGACTAAATTATTTAACGTCTCTTATATCATTCTGTCTAAAAATAGCACTATATGATGAAAAATTGGTAAAAATTGGGGTCTTAAATATATTCATTTATAAGAAATAAGCTCACCATTGTAGCCATGGGACGTTTTAAAATAAAACTGTATATTATGAACATTTGAATGAAACCAAATGCAATGAAACTTTATATCTTTTTTGAGGATTAATTGAAGATTAATATTTGGCAAATACTGGAAATCGTTAGATAAATCAATTCCAGTCGAATTCATGGTTTCTGTTTAAATAATATCAAGAAAACATACGATTTTCTAGCGCATTTTCCCTAACTGGCACTTTTCATTACCAATTTCATGCGATTTCGCTTTATTCCACTTTCCATAGTTGAGGAAATATTTCTAAATTTTAATTCTAATGTAATATATTAAGTGTCGTTTTTCCTCATAAAATGACGATTTAATTTAAACAATATAGTAGACCTTTACATTGTCTCTTTAATATCTTCTGGCTTTAAAATACTATGATTTTCACCCAATTTTCTATTGATTTGACAACCATCATGAAAGTCTCCATTTTAAGTGCATAAAACTGTAGGTTTATTTAAATTCTGGAGGTACATAAGTTTGTTAGTTTACTAATTTTAAGTGCTAATTTAACAAATCATGATGCATTAAGCATATTTTGCATCAAATTATTGCAAATGCAATTAAATATTAAGAAATTAAAAGAAACTCCACGGTTTTATGCAGTTAATTTCATTAAATATTGGTTTAATGTAATTTCTGCAGTTATCTTTCCTGAAATATAAGGCTCAATTTTAATTCAAGCCAAACAAAAACAAAATTTATAATAGAACTGAATAAGTTTTAATCAATTTCCTCGTATTTACATTGATTTCGCCACCCTTACTCTCTCCTTCGCTGATAGGCAATTTATTTTGAAGGAAGTTTTTTTTTTAAATACTTGACAGCTAATTGGTGCACTGTGACGTTTGAAAGGGATTTGTTCAAATACAAGTAGATATGATGAAGTAATACTGAAGTACTTGACAAACATGAACTTTCATGTCAAATTCCAGGAAATAAATAGGCTCTGGGGTTTTAAATATAGGCACACTTGTATTACCATATGACCGCAGTATTAATCATGCTTAACTACAGTTAATTAAGACTATAATCCAGCGGAATAGTAGATAATATGGGAGGTATAAAAGCAAAAAATCAATATCGTGACTTAAGTTATTACTGATGAAATTACGGAAACACGACTCTCAAAGACATATGGAAGGTTTGGTTATTGGCATTTTTTAGTGATCGTCTTCAAAAGCTATTAAAAAATCTTTTGGTACTTAAATGACTTTTGGTACTTTTATACTATTTCATATTCCACTCAGAAGAGTTAAAATGTATTCCCCAGTAAAGGAAAACAAATCGTGTTTTCTTTTAAATAAATAATTGTGAAATCTAATAATGGTCCTCGTAATCTTAATGTTTTCGATAGCGTATGAATACATTATAGTTTTGCGATAGCTGCCATAGAGATTTCTGAGTACGGTCAAGTTTTATTAGTGTGGGAATCCGCTATGCACTATAGATTTTTATTGTAAGCTAATAACTAGTCTGACCAATACCCTTTATTATTTTATCAAGCCATAATTTGAATTTGACATTTATTTACATGCTGCTTCTTGATTTTGCAGATCTTGTTCTAATAAATTGTTAACCGAGCCAATTTTTACCATCCACCACACTTTGTCCAGGCGCAAGAAACCCAGCCTTGAAAGCGTTGATGATTAATAACTTTATTTAGTTTCTTTAAACGATTTTTTAAATTACTTACTCAACTATGTTTCAAGCGTTTTTCGGATGACAATTCAATATTGTCTTATATCCTTAATGCCACGTGGTTACCTTAATGCTAATCTTAATTACCCTTTCAAGGAACTGAAAGACCACTAGTTTTAGCTTTCAAATGAAACAAAACGGCCACTCTAGCCCAATGTCAGTAGTTACATTGTCAGCACACATTACCGACATTGAACCCTATTTGTATTACAAAATACCTATCGTAGCAATATCTACACCAAGAACTGCCATCTGAAAATATCACATTTTCAACTTGAGCGCAGTCGATGGTGAATAAGAGTCATGCTATAAATGAATACAACAAAATCTACAAAGAAACAGGCTTGCCATTCGACCAACCCGAAAGTGGTTAAAACTTATTACCAATATTGATAAGGACATAAAACGTCATTCATTAAAATTTCGAATCATAGAGCGCTCAAATGCCAGAAAGTCACATCGTACACATATAAGATGTCAGATAATAATGATAAGAAAATGAGTTTGACCAAAATTTAAAGTCGATTACTGCCGCACCCCGTCGCCTGAAATTGAGATTCCCCTTGACCTTCTTCTCTCATCTCGGACTCTTGTGCGATCTCTTCATTGCCCCCATTGCTACTGTCCCGCCTCTCCCTCTCAGCATTCACAGCAAAGGGATTGAGCGATGGGCCTAAAGTTTCAAATTATAAAAAAAAAATAACTGTTAGAAAAAGGAAATAAGTGGGAAACGGTGACAAATAGTTACAGTTACCGATATAACTCAGCAGGACTGGGAGGAAAATAAGTCCCACCAGAGCTCCAAACACCACTATCCCGAGGTACATTCTGAAGTAAAACACTTGGAAAAGGCGGGAATTCGAGAAGGCCAGTACAAGAATACCACCTAGCTTAGTTAAGGTGATACCGCGCAGAACTGAGCTGCCCATCTCTGAAAGGGACTCGTGTGCACGTTCAATCCGAGTTTTGCGAGCACTGACAGTGTACGCGCGGACAATATGAGCGCAGAACTCCACTGCAATACCAGTACACTAAAATAATGTAAAGTAGGCGTATTTAGGCACATTCCCATTTCAAAAAAGGAGATATGAAGTGGATGACAACTTACCACAACAAGATTTACTAGTGAGATAGCATTCAGGTTAATATCCCATATACTCATAAGCCCAACAAGGCTCACATCAATACAAACTACACCCAGGAGAACTGCAAACGTCGCTGCAAAGTTAAGTCCAAGAAGTAGAAGGACTATCACCGTTATAGCAGCCAAGCAAACACCCAATTGAAGGGCTGTTTCCGCCTGCATGCCAAGATACTGTTCATAGAAAACATAGAAAACGCTAAAAGATAGCGTTTTAGGGAATAAAAGGGAGTGAAATTACCTGTAGGGGAAGATGGTATTATTTGATACAGAACTCTTAGCACTGTGGTCGCTCCAGTATCGTAAAGCATAATCAGCAATGTGACGCGACAGTTTTAGAGCTTCCAGATAGTCTGAGGGTCTTTTCAAAACAGTATGATAAGTCATAAAATTGGTTGCTCCAACAGATACATTCGATGGTGTATTATTACGTTTGATAAGTTGAACTGAACTTGCAAATGCAGCTTTTCCTCTGGAAGTATAAAATATAGTTTACTTAAAAGTTCCCAGTAGAATGAATTTTTATGCGCCAACATACCCACTCGGACAGACTTCATCGGGGTTTTGTTGGAGGAAGCGGCCAATGAAACGATTAAATTCTTCACCTTGTGGGAATAGTTCATCCGATTGCAAGCAGGAAACGCAGTCTGATGTGTAATCAGAGGCGTCGCAAAAGTGATGAGGATCTGATTTCAATACACGACAACAGTGGATATTTGAGCTATTCGGTCTAAGCCACTGCGAATATTGGTCGGTCCAGACCATTGATGGAGAGGCAATATATGATCTATATAACCGATGTAATATTAGTTTTTCGGATCACAGATAGAAAACAATAATAAGAGAAATCAGAAATGAAGTAAGGCGCCAACTTACCGATTGGCTAAGTGCGCATAAGCTCCAATCACACTTGGAAGTGAAGTACTAGAACAGGATGAAAGGCCACAGACCTCCTGTTGACCAGGCTCCCACTGAGTATAGTTGTGGCCAGCAGTAACTACGAAGTATACCGGTGGTCCAACAGCCAAATACTGTGAAATAGCGTCAAAGTAATCAAGTACATATGAGTCCAAAGGCATAGACAATCGCTGATCGAGTCCAACCTCCAAACGAGTAGTTATCAATGCAACACAGACACACATCCACGCGAGAAGAATTATCATCAGCATGGGACGAATCCACCGTGAAAGGATAAAGGGAGAGAGGTAGTTAGACACGGCTTGGTACAACCATGTACCGTGAGGTTGCGCACCATCTATAAAATGAACGAATTATTGCACACAAGTCACACTTAAATATTGTTACAATAAGGATATTTTACCACGTCTGTCATCGGGTTGCTGCTCCTGTGACTGATACCGGTCATGTTCCTCTAAAGTGGACAAAATCTGCGATAAAAACGTCCAGAGATTTAATTATTAAGACAACCAGTAATAAATTGCACACCTCCAGACGTTTCATTGGGAGGCTGGATTGTACTCTCAGGTGTGCGATTTCGAACGCAGCAGAGAACATCCCATTTTCGAGCCTATGGGGGGGGGGTTAGGCATTTACAAAGTATAAATATTACTTACAGCTTCGCGGCGAGCATCCAATGTTAGTAGTGCAGTGAACGCGAAAATTTGCAGCAGAAAGTTGATAACAAGGGAGACGCCAGCATAAAGAGCAAAAACGCGAACGGCAGGCATTGAGGTCAATGAACCTTAAAATAGGAGTCAATTCTCTCCAGTTAGGGCAAAATTTTAATCAATTTAAGAGGAGGAGTACCATGCAGTTACCCTGGCTAGAAAATCGAATTCTTAAACGAGACTTAGCAAGTACAATTGCCCCCTCCTTCCACTCACTGAGTATGCACGACCAGGGGTGCGCGATAGACTTACCTCCACGTGGTGCACCCTGGGCAACGTACGATAGACTTACCTCCACGTGGTGCACCCTGGGCAACGTACTTTCTTACGGCAAAAATTCTATCACTCGGCATTCGTTTTTCAATAGACTTACCTCCACGTGGTGCACCCTGGGCAACGTATATTCATACGGCAAAGTCTATTAACTGGTAGTTGACTTCTCCGCATACGGCAAAAAAGTCTATTAACCGGCAGTTTTCTTCTCACTTCAAACTACCATGACCCCCCTATATGTCCTATTTCTCACTTCAAACTACCATGACCCCACTGTGGGTCATATTTGACCCCTTCCATAGTACTCATCTTACTTTTTCTCTGCCTTTTTGTCTCTCAGTCTCTTTTACATCCGTGAATCACTCTTCTGTTCCCCACCCCTCGACTTTCTGCTACTTTGATGAACCTTCCCTCTGTGAAGCCCGAAGTCAGCTAAGTTGATGTTCCTTCCCCTCTGTGAAGCCTGAAAGTCAACTAATTCTAATGATATCTATCAAAACGCCTGTCATTTGAAATAAACTAATGATAACTATCACAACGCCTGCCATTTGAAATAAATAAATAAATAGTAAGCACGATCAAAATCAAATTCAAGACTTCTAATGCAGCAGAAAAGTAAACTAACAGATACACAATGCCTATCGAATGACTAAATGCTCTAAAAACCATTTTGAGTTGACTTGATGTGACATAGCTTTACGTTTTGAAGGGATTTAACGTGGTGGAAAACAAGGAGGAAAATCAAGTTCCACTCAAAGTTCCAGAATTATGAAAGACGTCAGAGTACTTAAAGATTAAAACTGAACTGCTTGGGAGAGAGAATTGCCACTTCTAGAAAATTCCACATTTGCTATCTACTAAGTAGCACACTACTGAAACTAAAATGCTTCTCCATAAGCATTACTTCTAGTAGCTTAACCCCTTAACGCCCGAGTTAGTTTTTTTTTGAAAAATTCACCTAACCGCACTCACATGTACATCACGGCCATCGACGTTGAGTTTTGGTGGTGCATCAGATGAAGGCTATAGACACTGTGAGCATGTGCTAAAAGGCAATAGCGCCTTCTGTTACGTGACAAGTACCAATGGAGTTTACTTTGAAGGAGGACCGTAGGGTCCTGCAGGGCAGAATATCTACAATCTCCAGAGCCAATACTTTAGCCAAAGCATGATGTTATACTCTCTCAACTTTTAGCAGCTAATATAAACAAGTCAAAAGCAAGTTGTCATTTCAATGCAAAAGAAACATAAGTTTTACATCGATTTTGTTAAAAGAAAATCTTTGCTACTTTTGTATATTTTATGGATTCGCGCTTAAGATCATGCAACTTCACAACGAAAGCCACATAATAGCCATCGATTCGACTGGGATGTTCAATAATCGCTTCATACCAACAAACAAAGACACGAGGCAATACAGATTTGACAGAACGTACCGCAAAAGAATGCTACAGACTCCGCTGCGCTGGAGAGTAGCATTGACGGACCAACACGACCAAGACTTCTCGCCACACGTTTCTGAACCTCCGAGCGCAAATCAAATTGACTACCATGAATTATTTCCAACAATCTAGCCCCAGATTCCTCCGTATGGCCGTTGGTTGATGCACCAATTGACTGCTGTTGAACACGGCTGGACTGTGAAGAAGCTTCTCTCAAGTTATCCATTTGATAGTCCTGGACTAGAATGAAAATATTATCCACACCGATCGCCAGAACTAAAAAGGGAATGACCTCGATGATAATCAAGGTTGCGGGAACACCGACAAAACTCCAGAAACCGATTGAAGCGGCAACAGATGCGAGAACAATCAACACTCCTCCGAGACCAAGTGTGACCTTCAGATCGACCTTTAATATCAAAGCAAATAGATAAGTGGAAAAAATCTATAATAAAAAAGACGAGGTCAATTGACACCTTATAGATATGATAATTTCAACCTATGTGGCATTTTATGCACCTAAACAGTTGCTCGCAAATGCAAACGAGAGAGAGAGAGGGCGTGTTTTGCAAGTCACATAGATCGAACGTAAAATCTGAATAAAGAACAAGTGTGTATCTAGGATACTATATTCTTTCAAGTCATTGCACGAACATTTAGAATTGTCTACTCGGGGTGTGCGATAGACTTACCTCCACGAGATGCACCCTGGACAACGCTTACTCATACGGCAAAAATGTCTATTAATCGGTAATTGACTTCTCACTTCAAACTACCATCACCCCACCGTATGTTATATTCAGCTACTTCCATAGTACTCGCCTCAAGTTATTTTCTACCTTTTTATCTGTTTCTTTTATATCTTTGAAACACTTTTTTATTCCCCCCTCTCGACTTGTTTCACTTTGAAGTTCCTCCTTCCCCTCTGTGAAGCCTGAAGTCAACTAAAGGGCTAATGATCAGTATCAAAACGCCTACCATTTGATATAAATAAATAATTGTCTACTCATGTTA